CCTCCCTCTTTCCGGAAACGAATGTCAGAGATGTTTCCACTTGAAAGACTCTCCGCACATTTTCGGCCTCTTCCAGGGTATTGACCCAGCCACAGAGACCATCTTCGGAAACGGTATTCCAAAGAATATGCCAACTAGGCACTTCTGTCATCGTTATTTATATATACATGATATATTGTATCAACTCTTTCCAAAATTTATCGCGGCTTTTTGATAAAAGTTAAAACGAAAGTAGCGTGTATCAACATCCGGTTTAAATGAATATTCATGACCTCTGACGCGGTCAGGCTATCAGATTCCATTGAACGCCTTCCGTCTTTACCGTACGCAGGAAAATCGGATATCAGACAGGCAGGCCAGTCTAAACAAGTTTCAGCAGTGAGTTATCGTTCATAACACCGACCCTTAGCGGCAGTTGAAAGGCCAATCCCATTTCAGTGACTCTGCATTAAGTAAGTGAGTGTACAATTACCAACCAGGGCCCACATACCCTCTACAATTTACATGTACAATAGTTTATAGAAACGCTCGTGGATAAGGATATTCTAAAAGGTATTCTTTGTTATCTGTTTGTCATGAAATAATCGTAACCATTATCCACATCTTTTAAGTTGTCTTGTTTGCACATATATATTTGAACCCGCTCTTTTTTCAAGATGGCGTCAAAAAGCCACATCGTTTGTTTTCAATTTATTAACACCGTTACACTGAGAAGAATGCTTGTGCCTATTTTGTTGTGTTATTGTATAAAACACGTAATATGTAAATAAATTCATTGTTAATAACATGGAAAATCTTATCTTCTCGGATTTTTATTTGCATTGCTTTATGCGCTCATAAATAGGTCACTGTTTTTTTTTTCTTGTTCAGATCAGTTGTTGACACTGAGCAGACGATTCCAAAATCTTGCATAGTGAGGCATTTTATAATCAGTTTCACTGTTGTCCAATCTTTGCATCAAGTTCCTTGGATCTTTTCATTTAGTTACTTTAATGCAAAGATCTAATGGTTGAAATAAGTTAACTACAATTACCAAACCAGAAGTAATTTTGGGATTTCGGACTGATTCATTGTTTTCTATTTAAATGTTAGAAACCTATTTTCTATTGTAGTCGAAAAATCCCATTTGCACTTTCATTCCATATATATATTGTTAAACAGATATTTTTTTACACAGTGAAACAGTGAAAGGTGTAGTCTAATTTTGCATTTGTCTGATAGGCGCTAACGGGATGGTTAGAGATGGCCCGATAACAAAAGATTGAAATGAACTGAAAGGCATAGCACATAATTATGAATGAAGGTCACGGAGTAAAAAAGCATTTATATCTTCAATGCAGAGCGCATTAATTTTCCGTTTGACTGATTCTAAAAACTTTTTCAATTAAATTCCCCATCAGTGACTTACAGATTTTAAAATCGTTTGTTTATTATAGAACCCTTAGCTTCTTGTATTGAATTACAGTTTCTCTAACGTACTCATTTTAAGCTCACCTGAACCGAACGCTCAAGTGGGCTTTTATGATAAAAATTTCTTCGTTGTCTGTAGTTGTTGTTAACATTTCACAATTTCATTTTCTTCTTTAGAACCACTGGGCGGATAATTATGGAATCATTTTCAGGTAGTGAAGATTCAGGTTTATTCAGAACATGACCGCCGGGGTAGGGTGGGGCCATATTGAGAGATCAAAGATTTACATAGGAAAAATTTTCTTCTCAAAAACAGCAAAGCCAGGATTAGTCATATTTATATCGAAGGAATCTTAGGTAGTGTAGATTCAAGTTTGTCAAACATGACCCCCTGGAGGTAGGTCTTCATCTCAAGAATATCAAAACCATGATTAGTCATATTTATATGGAAGCATCCTTAGGTAGTGTAAATTCAAGTTTGTTCAAATCATAACTCCCGGAGGGAGGGCGGGATCACAATGGGTGATAAAAGTTAAAAAGAATAAACTGGGAAAATCTTTTGAAATCTTCTTGGAAAGAACATTAAACCAGAATTAGTAATATTTCTATGAAAGCAATTTCAGGTAGTAATAATTTTGTTCAAATTGTGGCCCCCGCGGCATGAAGCGGAACCACAATGGGGATCAAAGTTTCACATAAGAAGAATCTTTAAATATCTTATTCTTAAGAACAGCAATGATGTGATTGTTCACATTTACTCTGAAAATACTGAATTGATTAATTTTTCTGCTTTTTTCTAGTCAGGTTCAAGAAAACTTGTTAAATAGTATTCCTGTCCTAGCATTTTCTCTCCAGAAAAAAATATTAAAAGCTTAGGGAAAAAGGACTTTCTTTCATATGATGTAGAAACCTAGGGTCATGGTCATGATTTTTAGTAAAAGGTCATTTGGAGAGAAAAAAAAAGGTTATAGCCCGTACATATACATGTACATGTATTAGAAACCTGAGATTCAACAATGAAATCATATAGTAAAATGGAATTGGTAAGTCAGTTTTGTGTGCATGCTAATTGAACCTTTTGTCCTATATAAAGGGCACCAAAAGAGAGAATTTTTTTTGATTTGCAGAAAAAATATTTATTTATCAGAAACATGAACTTGCATAAAACTAGTAGTCATTATTGTTAACTTAAATCAAGATTTCCTTATTAACATTTAATAACACAGCATTTGTCTTTTTTGATATGATTAGGAAAGTGATGTCTTCTATATACTCTCCTCGACTTAAATGTGGGATGTGTGATAATGTACGTATTCTCCACTCGATCTGCAAACAATGTGGAAACCTATGTGAAGACTGTTCAGGACTCCACAGCAAAGGGAATGCCTTCAAAAATCATAATGTGGTGCCCTTAACTTTTTCAGATAGAATTGAGACGTCTTCAATCAAGGTATGTTAATTCAAGCCTGGAAATATGCGAATGTAACTTACTATAATTATTTCTAGGCTAAAACCATATTCAAACGTAAATAGATCAGTATTGTAAGTTAAGAGATATACATGTAAATGTATACCAAACTGCTATATTTTTTTATCGTGAAAATGTAAAATAAAAAAAAAAACTGTAAATAAAACTGTGTACAACCTCAAGATACCTTTGATTTCATCATTCAATAAGGTGTGTTTGTTTTTTTTTTCAAGAAGTGGGTGTCATTTTTTTCCTCATATAAGTTTTTCCTTTGGTGTAAAAGATAATCCTGAAATAGAATTGACTGACAAATATATATATTACATGTTTGTATTATTTCATTGCTTTCTTTTTTAAAATAAGATGAAACCGTCCACACAACTAGATCTGCATGATAGCCCCCCCACCACCAGATGTACAATACCGCCTCATATATCGACTTCAACAAATGCCCCAAGACCTGGTCATGCACCATCGACCTCATATACTCCAACACCTGTTTATCCGCAATCAACTTCAAATGCTCCAACAACTGTTAATCCGTCATCAACTTCAAATGCTCCAACACATGTTTATCCGCCATCAACTTCAAATGCTCCAACACCTCTTGATGCACCTTCGACTTCATCAAATACCCCAACACCTGGTTCTTCGACAGCGACAAATACACCCAATACTCCAAAGAAAAAAGGCGTGAAACGGAAAGCTGCTTCCATGTTAATGAAGGAAATGGAGAAAGCTGCTTGTCCTAAACATAAACCTAACATAGTGGATTTATGCTGTCAGAATTGCAATCAAGCAATATGTTCGCAGTGTGTAAAAGCCCATACTGGACATCAAATTGGAGATATTACCGACTTTTTCGGGAATAAAAAAGATGTGATTGAAAGTGATTTAAATCTCATTCAGAGCCATATCAAGCAAAGAGAGGAAGCAAGACAGCAGCTGGTCGAAGATCTAGAAAAGATGGAACAAGCTTCAGAAAGCGTGATGAAGGAAGTTAAAGATTTCGCTGACAAGGTCCGATCAACCATTCTAAAGAAAGCAGAAGACTTGAAAGCAAGTACTAAAGAAACAAAAAAGAAGATTGTTTCAAGAAAAGGCGAGTTTGACAAAGAAATCAAAAAACTAGAAACCTTGCGTAAAAAATGTCAGGATGAGTTGGATGCTAAAGATTTAGCAGTGTTCCTGTTCAGAAAAGAATCGGCGTTCTCGCTTGAAACCTACGAAAATCTCCCAAGTTCGTTCGAAATTACACCTGCAGCATTTTTTCCAGCGGAATTAGACCAAGACATGAAAACTTTTGGAACCATTGCTTCTGCAACTATTCAAGAGAAACCTATTACGTTTAGGCCACCATCTACCCCAATAAAAATGTCAGGAAAAAAGAAGAAACAGACAGCTCAAAACAGTACGCCATTGCCTGTTCCGACTGCCACTTCTGCCTCTGCTCAAAATCATGAAATATTGAGAGACGCAGTGAGTTCTATTGTTAAAGATCTTGGAATGAACATTGTTCAACAATAAAGAAGATATATGGGAATTCTTTTATCCAAATTGAAGGAGTTTGGTGGATAAAGAAAAATCCCTTATCCCAGTTCTCTCTTATCAAAAGCTTGGTAAGCAGATTGTTCAAAAATGATGAAAACAAATGGTACTGAATAATTGGAGCAGCTTGGTGGGATTAGAAAAATCCTATTCTCCCTCACCGTATTGATAATCATACAGTGTACACTTGACTGCAGTAAAAAAATTATTTTGAAAACGATGAAGGTGTAATATGCATATGTATCACAATAAAAAAAAGAGAGAGAAAGTGAGATTTTGGAAAGTTTTGGAATAATTATATTTGTTTTACATTCTTACTGCCAAGAAATATTTTTTTTTGGGGGGGGGGGGGAGAGGGGGTGTATGTCTAGTTGCTCCATTTAACTACATGTATATTAATTTGTGTTTGACTCTGTTGACTTACATACTGAACTTTATAATAGAATTAGGAAGAATAGTAACAATATTTATGTGACTTTATATTCACCCGCTGATGATTAATGAAGCAAGTTTGTATTTCATATTATATTTACATATAAAAGATATTTTCATGTAATAGATCTATAGCTTCAAATAAAGTTTCATTATACTTGATTATTTTTAAAGGGTTTTTGCAGAGAAAAAAAGTTGAATTTACTCCATGGCATAAAATTATTAAACTTGCAATCGCAGTGTCAGTTATTTATACTTTCTGCGTTAGTGATGATTTATTTTCCAAGTTCTGTTCAATCTGTTGTTAATGAAAACAAAATATTTTGGGAATTACATGTATAATATATCATAAATCCACTTTAGACTACTTATTTAAAGAATTGTTTTTAAATATTGTGCCTGAAGGAAAGTATGTAGACTGATTGATAAAAAAAAGTTCTATAACTGCAGCCTTGAAAATAAAAAAATTAAAATGCAAGATTAACTTCAAAATCTGTATGGTTGTCTATGTACAATCAGTGAATTTAATAAGTAATATGAATTAAAATTTTATTGAAGCAGCTTTAATTTTCATGGTTTATCATAATTTTTTTCAATAACAACATAATACTTACATGTACCTTTTTTGATAAACAAAAAATAAATAATTTATTCCTTTCTTAGATAATATTAAGGAGGTTTTTCCCTATGAAGTTCTGAAAGATGATAAGTTCCTTATTATGAAATAGTCTAACAGTTGAAAGATATGTTTCTTACTATGAAATGGCCTAACAGTAGACATATGATACGTTTCTTACTAGGAAATGGCCTAACAGTATAAAGGTGGTATTTTCTTATTCTGAAATGACCTAACGTACGGAGTATTTGTTGTTATGTCAGTAATAGTACAAGAAATAAGCAAATAAATCGCCAAATTTTGCACCTGTTAAAGAAACCCGCTATAATGTGCATATCCTTTTCAGAATACTGCATGTACCAGTTTAAAATCCTAGTACCTTCAAATGTTCTTAAGCAAAAAATAATTCAAGCATATAGTACGATAGACTAGTTATAGTGGCATGTTTCTGCCCCTACATGTAAGATAAATTATGTTAACATGAAACATAATTTTGTAGACATGCAACATATTTATGTCAACATGCAAGTTAATTATGTTTACATGCAAGTTACCAATCTTATAAGAAAATAGAAATTAAATATGGACATGGTTCTTTATTAACAACTGTATCTGACATTTTAAATGCACGATGCAGCATAATTACGAGTATGTAGAAATGCGACTTATTTATGTCAACATGCAAGATAATTATGTCATCATACAGATAAATAATGTTAACATGCAAAATAATTATGTTAACATGCAAGATATTAATGTTCACATGCAAGATAATTATGTTGGCATGCTACTTATTTATGCATGTCAACATGCGACTTAGTTAGTCAACATGCGAATTATATTTTTACATACAAGATAATAAGTTGCAAATATCATACATATCTTGCATGTTAACATAATTATCTTGCATGTTAACATAAATAACTCGCATGTTGACATAATTATCTTACATGTAAACATAAATAACTCGCATGTTGATATAATTATCTTGCATGTTGATATAATTGTCTTGCATGTTGACATAAATAAGTCGCATGTCTTCAAAATTCTGTTGCATCTTGCATTTTAAATGTCGGATGCAGACGTTAGTGAGTAAATGTCCCCATTTTTCATTTACATTTTCTGAAAAGATTGGTAACTAGCATGTCAACATAATTAAATTGCTTTTTGACATAGATATGTTGCATGTTTACATAATTATGTTGCATGTTAACATAATTTATCTTGTGTAGGGGCAGAAATATGACACCATAACTAGTTGTTAAATTCCTCC